TCCTTTCCAAAAAGAAGAAAAAGAAAACCTCCACAATATTATAAATGGGGGCTGTGCAAGATACAAAGCCTTTGGAAAAGCTGGAAGAGTTTTATGAATTATAAGAGACAAACAACACACCCATCTGGAATTACTCAACAGATTTTTTAAGGAATTTTGATTTTACACCTGGGCATGGATCTGTTAACCATTAAGGCTAATGTTGGACCTGAGCGCATACATTACTGCACTTTAATGATACCATTCACACTGCATCCCTGGTCAGGGTTGCTGGTGTACATACATGCTCAACTCTTCCCAGTTCCCTCAGCATTTCCCCATCAATCTCCAGAACCTTTTTCAGATATTATCGAATCAGGTTTCCCAGTGACAGGTTTCTCACTTTTAGGTCCCAGGCACATAATGACCCAGAATGTCTCCCTTGCCATCTTTAAAATCAATAACCTTAAAACAATATTACTATTCCCTCCTGTATGTAGGGCCAAGCCTGCCTTCCAGCTGGAGAGGAATATCCACACATACACCATACCCAGACACCAAAATACACAAACGGAAAAGAGTATTTTTCGCTTCACCAGAAAGAGCTCCAAAAGATGGAAGCATAGGTTATCTCTGACATGTTGCATGGGTGGGTGAACATAAGGACCTGGCTGCCTTATTTTTAAAATGGATCTTAAAAGTTATTTAAAATGTCTTTTCCACTGAGCTGGTTACAACTATTTTTTCCTGATGACCAGCAGGGACCTGGGCCTCATTTTTGAACCATTTTACTCAGAGCACCCTACAGGCTAATTGAATTTGTTCCTACAGGTAGCACTTTGTATATAAACAGCTCTAGGCTTGTCTATTGGATAAGAACCCCACTCTTAACAGAATGGAGAATCAGGCCATGACTGGTATGACTCGTACTTTGGCTAGGTCCCAAGAAACACCCCAGCCCCTGGGGAGGACAGAGGGGAAAGTAAGGAGGAAGGGATCTTGCCCTCAGAAGAGTCTGCCAAGAGTTCTTGTGTAGGACTGGGGCACAGGAGTCATTAACATGCCCTCTTCTTGTGAGGCAGGATGTCAAGGGTGATTGTCATTCTGCACACAGAATGGAGAGCAAAGCTTCTAGCTAATGAGGTTCTCTGAGTCTCAAAGAGTAAGTCCCTCTCAGCTGCCTGGGAAACCAAACAAAGAGGGGCAGAAGGGACCCTGCCAAGGTGATACTCTGCCTGCATTTTTAAAGCAGAGTGAATGGATATAATGCCCGGTGTCACTTCCAAAGGCAGCTTTGAGAACCAAGCATAACGATGTAGGCCTGTCACTTGGTAAAACAGAATTATGCCCAGCCACCTAATTATCCAGAGGCCTGTTTCAGAGAAATCCTTCCCCACTTCTTGTTGTGCTCTCTCTCTGCACCTGGTCAATTTACCACCTGTGATATAATAAGCATGGGGAGGTGAGGGCAATGAGAAGGAGTATGATTGAAGACTGCTGAAACCTATGAACCCCTTCTTAAAAGAATATATCTAAGTACATAAAATCCAATGTGTTACAAAGGGAAGTGATTATAATATAATTTTACATAAATATATGTATATGTGTGTGTGTGTGTGTGTGTGTATATATATATATATATATATATACATGTGTATACATTTTTTAAGTTATGAATCCAGTTCAAGAACTCTTTCTCTAAACCTTTTCCCTCATTGGTTGCCTTCATTCATTCATTCATTCATTCATTCATTCAATTAGCAAGCACTTTTTAAGCAACTACATTCCAAGAATTGTGCCTGATGCCAAGGATACCAAAATGAAAAAAGTCTCTGGCCTCAAAGAGTTTATATAGTATTGGAGGAAATGTACACACATAAATAAGTTATATGTATATGTGTATATATATATATGTATATGTATACATATTATATATATATTTACACACAAATAAAAATATACATATATACACACAGAGAAATATATGTACGTATGTATGTATAAACATACATGCATACACACACCATAATTTGGCTGAGCACTAGTAACTGAGGATACAAGAGAGGCCTCTCAAAAGAGGTGGGAGCTTAGCTGAGCTTTAAAGGAAACTAGGGATTCTAAAAGGCAGAGGTGGGGATGGAGTGCATTAATTTTTTTAATTAATTAATTTATTTTTTATTATGGTAATTTTTATTTATTTCTTTTTTGTTTTCAACATTTACTTCAACAAGATTTTGAATTCCAAATTTTCACCCCATCTCGCCCCTTCCCCCACCCCAAGATGGCATATGTTCTGAATACCCCTTCTCCTAGTCTGTCTTCCCTTCTATCTCTCCCCCCTTCTCTTATCCCCTTCCCCTTCAATTTTCCTGTAGGGCAGGATGGATTTCTGTACCCCATTTCCTGTATTTCTTATTTCCCAGTTGCATGTGAAAACATTTTTTTAAATGTGTTTTTAAAACTTTGGGTTCCAAATTTTCTCCTTTCCTCCCTCCCCACCCACCCTCATTGAAAAGGCAAGCAACTAAATATAGGTTATATATGTGCAGTTATACAAAACACTTCCATAATAGAGATGCAGTGAAAAACTAACTCTATTTCCCTTAATCCTATCCCGTCCCCCCATTTATTCTACTCTTTCTTTTGACCCTGTCCCTTCTCAGAAGTATTTGCTTCTGATTACCCTCTTTCCCAATCTGCCCTCCTTTCTATCATCCCCCTATTCTCTTGTCCCCTCCCCCCCATTTTCCTATAGGGTAAGACAGATTTCCATACCCAATTGAGTGTGTATGTTATTCCCTCCTTAAGTCAAATCCTGTGAGAATAAGATTCACTCATTCCCTCTCACCTTCTTCCATTTCCCCTCCATTGTAGGAGCCTTTTCTTTTCTATTTTTTTTTGTGAGATAATTTACCCTGTTCTACCTCTCCCTTTCTCCTTCTCCTAGTATAATCCTCTCTCACCCCTTAATGTTATTCTCCAGATATGACCTCTTCATCTTCAACTCACCCTGTGCCCTCTATCTATCTATTTATCTGTCTGTCTGTCTATCTATATACATATATATATATTTATATATATACATACATACATACATATAATTTTTTCCCTCCAACTCCCCTAATATTGACAAAGGTCTTATGAGTTACAAATATCATCTTTCCATGCAGGAATGTAAACAGTTCAACCAAAATAAGTCTTTTATGATTTCTCTTTCCTGTTTATGTCTTCATGTTCCACTTGAGTCTTGTATTGGAAAGTCAAATTTTCTATTCAGCTCGGGTCTTTTCATCAAGAATACTTGAAAGTCCTCTATTTCACTGAATGACCATTTGTTCCCCTGAAGAATTATACTCAGTTTGGCTGGGTAGGTGATTCTTGGTTGTAATCCTATCTCCTTTGCCCTTCGGAATATTATATTCCATGCCCTTCAGTCCCTTAGTGTAGAAGCTGCTAAATCTTGTGTTGTCCTGATTCTATTTCCACAATACGTGAATTGTTTCTTTCTGGCTGCTTGTAATATTTTCTCCTTGACCTGGGAACTCTGGAATTTGGCTACAATATTACTAGGAGTATTCCTTTGGGGATCTCTTTCAGGAGGAGATTGATGGATACTTTCAATTTCTATTTTGCCCTCTGGTTCTAAAATATCAGGGCAGTTTTTCTGGATAATTTCTTGAAAGATGATGTCTAGGCTCTTTTTTTGATCATGGCTTTCAGATAGTCCAATAATTTTAAAATTCTCTCTCCTGGATCTATTTTCCAGGTCAGTTGTCTTTCCAATGAGATATTCACATTGTTTTCTAATTTTTCATTCTTTTGGATTTTTTTTACTGTGTCTTAATTTCCCATAAAGTCACTAGCTTCCAATTGCTCTATTCTAATTTTTAAGGAAGTATTGTCTTCAGTAACCTTTTGAACTTCCTTTTCCATTTGCCCAATTTTGCTTTTTAGGGCACTCTTCTCCTCATTGTCTTTTTGGACCTCTTTTGCCATTTGGGTTAGGCTATTTTTTAAGGTGTTATTTTCTTCAGTATTTTTTGGGGTCTCCTTTAGCAAGCTGTTGACTTGTTTTTCATGATTTTCTTGCATCACTCTCAGTTTTTCCTCTACTTCTCTTACTTGCTTCTCAAAATCCCTTTTAAGCTCTTCTAAGGCCTAGGACTGATTCATATTTTTCTTGGAGGCTTTGGATATGGGAGCTTTGACTTTGTTGTCTTCTTCTGGCGGTATGTTTTGATCTTCTTTGTCACCAAAGTAAGATAATATAGTCTGACTCTTTTTGCTCTGCTTACTCATGATCCCAGACAATTACTTCAGTTTTAAACTCTTCATTAAGGTAAAAATCTGCTTCCAATATAAAGAATGTACTGTCCCAGCTTCGGGGTTTTATACAGCTGTTTTCAGAGATACTTCTAGGGACCTGAAAATTTTCAGTTCTCCCAAGGTGCTATGATAAGGGACAAGGTGTTTTCTCTCCACCACCACAACAAGCTTCACCACACCCTCATTCCTCCTAGCCCCAGGACCACCCCTCAGAACTGTGACCCAGATCCAAGCACAGGCAAAGCAAGAGATTACTGTTTCAGCACTGACAGAGATCCCTGCAATCCCCCTCTGATCAGCAATTTGATTCCCTCTCAGTATATGGACCAGAAGCTCAGGAAATAGACACAGCCCCGGGCTGCACTCCAGACTTGAGGCTGAGACCTAGCTTCTTCTCTCACCGCAGTCACAGACTTTTCCCACTGACCTTCTAAGTTGTGTTTGGCATTAGTGGGTTGAGAAGTCTGGAAACCGCCACAGCTGCGTGCGATTCAGTCCTCTGAGGCCTGCTCCAGGATCGCTGCAGCCTGCGTGCCCACACTGAACTGCACTCCTTTCCCTGCCCGGCACAATATACCTTTCCGATCAACCATCCAGGCTGTCTTGGGCTGGAAATTTGTTTCACTCTGTCTTTTTGTGGGTTCTGCTGCTTTATAATTTGTTTAGAGTCATTTTTTATAGGTATTTGGAGGGGTTTGGGGGAGAGCTCAAGCAAGTCACTGCTTTCCCTCTGCCATCTTGGCTCCGCCCCTGGAGTGCATTCTAAGAACAGGAACAGTGATCTGTGGAAATATATGAGAGAAGATGAAATATCATGTATGATAGACAGAAAGGAAACTTGTCTGGTGGAAATGTAGTGTTCCTGGAGAGGAAAAATGTCTGTAGAGGTAGGCTGAAGGACTTTAAATGCCACACAGAAGAGTTTGTGTTTTATTGTTTTTTTTTTTCTAGATGCAATAGGGAGCCAGCCATTCATGCCTTTAAGGAAGGTACTGACATGATCAGACCTGTGCTTTAGGAGTATCACTTGTCTGGTTAAGATAGTACTAGGTGGAGCACCACATTAGGGCAGTTCTTGTTAGTTAAAAGATATGCTGTAGATAATAGGGAGCCACAGTTTTTTGCCAAATAGAAGAGTGGCATTGCCAGCTGTATGAAGGATGGATGGGAAAGGGAAGAGACCTAAATCAAGGAGATCAATCTGGAGGTTCTTGTAAAAGTTCAGTTGAGAGGACCTGAACTAAGGTGATGGTGATATGGAAAAAGGGGGGTTAATGGAAGAGATACCATGAAGGCAAAATTGACAAGATATCAATCAACTGGGTATATGTAGCAAGGGAGGGTAAGGAATTGAATTGAAAGCCTGGAAAACTTGGGAGATGGTGATGACCTTGACAAAAATAAGGAAGTTCAAAAGAGGGGAAGGTCTGGGAATAAAAGATAGACTTCTGTTTTATACAAGTAGAATATGAGATGCATACAGGACATCCATTTGGATATGTCCAATAGGTAGAGATGATCTGGGATTGGAATTCAGAAGATGGAATTGATTGCAAACTTAGATTGAACTTATGGGAATTGATTATGTCACACAAAGAGAGTATAGAAAGAGAAGAAAAAAAAGGCTTAAGAGAAGGCCTTAGGGTACACCCACAATTAGGAGGCAGGATATGAATGATGATCTAGTGGAGTATTGCTGTGAGATAGGTGGTAGAACCAACAGAAAGTAGTGTCATGAAAACTCAGAGAGAAGAAATCATTTCAATGCTGCAGACAGGTCAAGAAACATGAATACTGAGAAAAAGTCATTTGATTTGTCAATTAAGAGATCAGTGTTAACTTTGAAGAGAACAGGCACAGTGGAATTGCTGAAATCAAAAGTCATACTACAAGTATTTAAGAAATGAATCAAAATAGAAGAAATGTTGGCACTCAGTGTGGATAGTTTTGGATGTGAAAAGGAGTAGAGTTATAGGAGAATATCTTGAGGGCCTAGTAAAGTCATTTGAGTTTGTTTTCTTGTATTCCATTGCTTTGTTGTAAAGGATAAGGACAAGGGAAATCTAAGCTATTTGTAGGCATTTTAAGAAGCTAGTGAGGACCCATGAGATAGGGAGAGATTGAAGATTGAATAGATGGAATAGTTATGGGGATAATCTGTCACAAAAGACTTGATAGAATAGGATCTGGGATCAATGGTGATGAGAAGGGTGTCTTATCTAATAAAATCTTTTAAGTGGTGGGTTCAGTTTGACAGAACTAAGTTGCATGTGTGTATGTATTTCATGCATGTAAGCACATGTGTATATATTTATTTTGAGAAATGTTGAATACCTCTTCGGCTTTTTATCTGTTTGGTTGTGTCTTCCTTTCCCTTTTTTTTTTTTGGTGAGGCAATTGGGGTTAAGTGACTTGCCCAGAGTCACCCAGCTAGGAAATATTATATGTCTAAGACCAGATTTGAACTCAGGTCCTCCTGACTCCAGGGCCGGCACTCTATCCACTGTGCCACCTAGCTGCCCCTTCCCTTCCCTTTTTTTGAAACACCTGGAGTACTAATATTCCTTTTCCTAATGTCATGGTATCAAATCCAGGGGAAGACTTCCAAAGTAATTTCATTCATACCTCTACCTCCCTATAAGGGTTTTCATCTTAATTTTAAAAACCATCAAAAAAGAGAGAGAGAAGGAGAGAGCTCTCACCAGACAGGGCAATGTAATGGAAAGAGAACTGGTTTTATAGTAAGAGGAATTAAGTTCCAATCCTGTCTATAACTTACTAACATAACTTTCTGACCTTTGACAAGCAGACCAAGTGCAGGAGGATGAATTGGTCTCTAAGAAATAGATGCAAAGAGGGAGAGACAAAGCGTTTCAGGGATGTGGAAAGGCATGACCCTTTAAAGGCAAAAATAACTATATGACTTCCCTTTCAACTAAACCCTTAAACTGTTTCCACTTTCCAAAGATGTATGTGTGTTTATTTTGTAGTTAAAGTGTCATTTAAACTAATGCCTGTAAACATTGAACAAGCATTTTACTAAATGATCATTTCCTTCCACAAACATTTGTTGTTGACTTGCTATATTAATATGGCTGCTTTGGGCTTCTGAAGGAGACATAAAGATGGATGAATAAAACATGGCCTGCCCTCAGAGAGCTTACAATAGAGTACATGAGCTAAGAGAAGTATGTAAATAAGCACAATATGAAGGACAGTATGGAAATTTTAAAAAAAATATATATTTCAGAAGAAAAAATAATGCCTCACAACATTAACAAGGGTCATTTTTAAGCCTCTGTTGCCAACTAAAATTTTGGTTTTTTTAAAGTCAGACCTTTTTTCTTGACTCTGATCATTACTGCTGGTCAGCAAAAGATAATGCGTTTGAATTTCACAAGTCCTTGGGGAATTATAAACTGCCTACTAGCGCCCCACCATCAGTCAATATTTTCACAAGAGGACAACTCTCCTGAAAAGAAAGGCACAAGGTTTTATTTGAGTTAATAAATGGTTATGCTGCACAATGGATCTACAAATAAGACCCCAATTAATGAATCTGCTAATAGCTTTTCCCTATTGTCTCTCTGTAGTCACCAGGCTTACTCACACCTAGATGAAAACTTACTTGAAAGTTTCTTCCGAACTCAGGCAAAATGACAGACATCAAAAAGGCCTAATTTTAGTGTTTGTCTTTTTATGAGAGTTATCCCTAGTTTGCTCATGGCTATTCTGTTTGCCCATGAGTCACTACTCTAACAGAGGCTCATTCATTATTTATAAACCACTTTGGGACCCTTTGAGTAGGAAAGATGCTACAGAAAACCAATTCTCTCCCTCTTATTGTGTTAATCCTGGATTAAAATTAATGAATTTTATAGCAGAGGGAAAATGAAATAATGCAGAAAGCTAACAGGGCAAATACAATGAAAGTCAGAAAATTAAATTTTAATACATTTCACTTTGGAACGTTTTGGTTAAGTGTCTTATTACAACTGCCTTTGTTCTGAGACTTTTACAGACCTTGTGGCAAAAATCACTGAGAGGCTACATTCTGTCTTCACTAACCTATCAATGGGTGAGCCATCTGCAGATGAAAGACAGAGTTAACCTCCACAGTGAATCAAAGGTCTTTAAGTCATCGCTGGAACCCTTGGCTCCTGTGATATCTCTGGTCTACTTCCCTGTCTGACAATTTCACATTGAGGTGATGAGGACTGGAGCTAGAGTTCCAACATTAGGCCTATGTGGTGAAGGTACAGGAAGTGAGATCAAAAGTTCAATCAGACTTGCTTACAAGCTACTGTGCCTGCAAAACACGCTCCAGTGAGACTAGGGAACAAAGACATACAGGAAAGTTAAAAATAGTCAATACCCAACATGATGGCACCTACTTGAAAACATTTTGGAGTAAAAGCTCGGCACTGTAAACTTAGTTACCAGTGAAAATGATGATTCATTTGAGGTAAATGAACATTGTCAGCCTAATTCTAATACTCATAGGTCCTTGGCTTGCATAACCAATCTACTGAGAGAAACGTTCCCTCCAGGGCTTGGACCAAACCCAAGGGAGAAAAAAACTCCTTCTTCACTTCTAAGAAGGAAAGTGAGTCTCTCCCTCGGTTTCTTTGACCTTACATTCTACAGAATGGGTTCTTAACCTTTTTCTGTGTCATGAGCCCCTGGAGCAGTCTGGTGGAGTCTATGGACCCCTTTTCATAATGTATTTTAAGTGAACCAAATGAAATACAAAGAAATAAAATATTTCAAAAGTGCACTCTTCTCTGACACTGCCACAACCCTGGTGCAGGCCCTCATCAATGCAATAGCCTGTTGGTTAGTGTGTCTGCCACAAGTCTCTCCCCACTGCAGTCCATCCTCCACTCAGCTGTCAAAATAGTCCTTCTAAAGTTCTGGTCTGATCATGTCACTCCCTCACTCAATAAACTTGAGTAACTCCCTATCATCTCCATAATCAAATAGAAAAATCCTCTGTTTGGCATTCAAAGTCCTTCATAACCTGCACCTGCTACCTTTCTATTTTTCTTACTCCTTACACCATGTGTCCCTTCCCTCTCTCCCTTGTCCCAATATACTTCAGCGGCTCCATTTGGGAACAAATACAAATTCTGCTATTTGCCACTAAAAACCTTCACTGTCTGGTTTCAACCCCCCTTTTCAGTCTAATTGCATACTGTATCACTCCTCTACATAAGCTGTACGTGCTGTTCCTTACACCTGACTCTTCATTTTGGGGCTCTGTATCTTGGCAAAGGCTCTCCTCCATGCCAGAAATGCATCCTTCCACTACTTCAAATCCCTTGTTGATTTCAAGACTCAATTCAAACACCACCCTCTACATGGAAACTTCCCAACTCTCTTGGTAATTACCATATCTTGAAACTGTTTTGCATACCTTATGTCCTCCAATAGAATGTAATCTCCTTGATGACAAAGACAGTTTCACTTATCTCTGTCTCCCTGTCGCTTAGATAATAGTAGGCACTCAATGCTTTTCGACTATTGGATTGCGCGCGCGCGCACACACACACACACACACACACACATTCTTCTCCCCCACCACCTGTTATCCAGAGACAACCCAAATACCACCACTCGATTCCCAGGTTGGGAGTCAACTTTCCTCTTCTCTACTTTGACTAAAACACAGACCAGCATTACCTTCACTGAAAGGAGACATGGATATTTCCCTTCCGCAACCCAACCCACCCTGATTTGTTACACATTTCTCACCCTATTAGGTACAAAAGATCCACTTGTA